AAAAAAACAACAAAATAGATCACGATTATTTATAGCAAATGCAATGCTTTTGTCATATTTATAGTCGTTCAAATCGAGTTTAAAATGTTGAGTAGTATAATTAACTTATTATATATATGTCAACGTGGACATTAATTATTAACAATACAATTATACTGGTGTTAAGCTTTATACTCAAGAATTGAGAAAAAAGTTGTTAAGGAAAACAGACTTTTTATATTAAGCTACCTGTACACATACAATAGTTGACATCTGTGTTTCGGTCTATCATGCTTCTAATCAGCAGGATTATGGTTATAAAATATAAGACATAAATTCATCCAATTACCGACAATAATTTGTATTTAATTTTATACTGCTTCAAAATCCTTTACAATTTTATATCAAATTATACAATACTCAAAAGTATTATATAATTTCCCAGTTTGTCATTTCTGTCCTACAGTAATAATACGACCAGAGATGTAGATTTGTCGTACAGAAATGCACACATCATAACACTTCTAACACCTTGCTGCCGTCTTCATTAACTTAAAAAAAAGAAAGAAAAATAGTAATAAAATACATTAATCAAAGTACAAAAACAAAAATTAATTAATATTAAACATTTAAATTATCTGAAATGATAATTTAAATATATAATATTAATTTTGCGCTGTCATTAAAATAATTCATAAACCACGTTATAACTTATATTTTAGGAAGGTCCTATAAGATATTTATGAACACAAAACATTTTTAAATTTATAAACAGTAATTAGAAGAAAGAGTCCAATTAAGAAATACGGTTATCAAAAACAATAAAACTAAATTTTTCACACGAAATAGATGCAATTTATCTTCATAATTCATTTTGCAGTATGTAGCCAGCTGCGGTAATTGTTTCTACTTTATATTATTTCTACTTTCACCTTCATTAACGTACAAGGAGTACAATTTCGCATCGAAGAAATTATTGTACTTCATTGCGATTTGTGGTATTGTATTCAGTGTATGAACGAAACAGGAGATTTGTATCTAGCAGCGATTTACGCATTCTACGTATATTTTCCTCTTCTGTTTGTATCAGCCCCTTTATTCATGGATCTGGATTTGCTTCTTCTTATGTCAATTATGGTCATAGCTGTAGTATTATTCATTGTCAGTTTCATGTTTGCTTTCTCTCTTTCGAAATTCACTTCGACGGTAAGTAAATGATAGTTTGACTAAGAAATTCATTAACATTTACAGTATCAAAATAGAATATTGTTTAATGTAGATTTATAGCAATTTTAATGACATAAATCGATTTTTTATGGCGTACTTTTCTCTTAATTATAAATTAAGGGTAAGATTTATTCATTTTGTATCTATAATAAATTTTCATAAAATTTATATTCGTAATTAAATAAAATATTTGAAGAGAATTTTGAATTTATCTGCAACAGATGCTGGATTTCATGAAGAGATTCGGGAGATCTGTCATTGGAATATCAATCGCTGGTTTCTTTTACGGAAATAAAAAATTTGCAATTAGAATAAGTGATGACAATTATCATAAATATATAAAGGTTTATGTAAATTATTTAAATGAGTAAATTTTTTTCAGATGATCAGCGCTGTTTATTTTTTCCTCTCCACACTCATACAATTATTAAGCACTGCAAAGGAATGCAAAATGATGTATAAAATTGACTCTTATGTAAATAAAACAAGCAATTAATGGTTAAATCATCAATGAATGTAAGAATAAATTGTGTATGTAATTTCCTCTACCAAAAAAAATTTATATCTTACGTAATGTTCTTTTTAACCCCTTCAATGGTAACTTTGTTGTTAATGCTCTTTAGTTTCATTTCTTGTAATATACTGTGTTGAACTTACAGAATCTAAATTTGAATGTGTATTTGGAGTTTACAATGCTAAAAATGGTAATTTACACATAATCCGAATGGTGTCTGGCCCAATTGGGTCAATGCTTCATACTGTATTCAGGTTTTATATATTAAACTACATTATACACTAAACAATGTTTATTTATGCATCATCATATAAATATTTATCTTCAATTGAGTATTATTCAATACTTAATTAGAGATTATATTTTTAATGAGAAGAAACAGTGATACCTTTATGTAGATATTATACAGCAGGGGTGGCCAACTTTTGTGTACATAAGATCTACTTTTTATATTAAAATGCGTCGCGATCGACTTGTTGTCGTAGGCATAGTCTAAATGGAGAGGGGGTGGTGTGAAATACATGCTATGTTTAAATAGGTAAGAAAAGCCACAATTTAATTTAAAACATGAAGAAAAGGTACTTACTTTCAAAAAGAAGGAAAATTGAAACAACGTTATCACTACTTCACCCTTCCTCTTTCTACCGTGTCCCGACCACTCTGTCCTTCTTCTCGCCTTTCTTTTTTTCGGTTTTACAATTCTTTTTCTAAATTTCTTATTCTTCTTTTACAACTGTACACAAATGGACAGCACATGGACTGACAAAACTGGGTCTGAAGGAGGATGCAGTGATCCAATATCACTACAGTTGCATTTGAGCGTTATGTTCGGTTACAAGTGTAACACTTTAATTCAAGATATCGTGAGCGATTGACCAAAATTGGCTTCGCGATCGACTTGTTGGCCACCCCTGTTATACAGTTTATTTTNAAGAAAAGTGCAAAGACGAGCGCTTAAAAAGAAGGATAGGCAGGATCAGACTTTCAGATGTGAGACGATTCTCGAACTAATAGGTGTGTACATCTGCTGATCTTTGTAATTATAAATTGTAAATACGTGTGACTAATATTATGTTCTTTTTTATTTTGTGCATGTTAAAGTTATAAATAAATATAAACAAACAACACTAACTCGATAACATTAAATCTAAATACAAAACTGATTAATTTACTGTGTTTTTGTTATTTCTTACTACTGTTTTTAGGTATTCGGTATTCGGCCGAATAACCAAAAATAGGCCGAATAGGCCGAATACCAAATAATAACCGAATATTCGTTACATCACTATTATCTACACATTTTGTTAGTAATTACGCTTTTGAAATAACCCTCCAAGTGTTATCAAAGTAAAATATTCCAAATATTCATAGATTAGCTATGGATTTCTGGCATAGCTGACTTTTTGAAAATCAAGTATGCTTAAAATTTCATGTCTTTAATTAAGAAATACTGCATAATTATTATCGCAAAAATTAGATTTGATGTATTTCTCGTTTTTGCTATTAACTTTAATATTATATAGGTCTATGTTTTCGGTTTTGTTGAAGACTTTGTGGTAATAAATTCGAAGCAACATTTCGAAAACAGATTTCTCGTGCTACCTTCTATAGCTTTTTTCGCGAGACAGCGTAATATAGATAAAACTGTAAAGTGTTAAGTCATTTATTCAGTTTAAAAATAGAAAACGAATTAGTACACAACAGGCCTACTTGCTTTGTGATAAACATTGACTGACTAAAATTTTTCTTTCTGGATTTAACTGCAACAAATATATTCAATGTAATGAATTTCAGTTTCCTCATTTTGAAATTTCGATACTTTCACTTGGTCTCTTTTCGTTCATTGAACTCCCTAAATACTTCTTTATAATTTCGTCTATTTCGACTATTGCAGCTATTGTGATAAGCCGAGTACAGCCGTTCCTTTGTACCACTGTGATGTCTCACACAGCACAAATGATAATTAGGCCAATATGGTAAAAATAGTACTTAAATGTTGACAATAACGTTAATGTATAAGAATAATAATTTAGAAAATGACTCACCGAGTCAAGTATTCGATTGTTCGCATCAAGAAGTGCGAAGTTTTCCGCCAATATTTCGCCAGCAGGTTCTAATTTCAGTTCTATTTCTTCGTTTAGTGCTCGAAATTTGACCGTCTTCACTCCAAATCTCGATGTTTCCACCGACGAAAACACCAGAAGGTCAACTCGACCTGTTTATTTATTTATACCAGGAACTTAAAACTCTTGAATATTATTAATATTTTAATAAAAAAATATTGTCTCACCACTTGAAATGGCCGAAACGAGTACAAATGGGAAAAATATTGCAAAATAGAAGATCATGATTAGTTATAGCAATATTAATGCTTCTGTCCTATTTATAGTCGTTTAAATGGAATGAAAAATTTCGATTAGTATAATTAATTGTTTACTCATTCTCCAACAATTGCTATTTCGCATCTGTTTGAAATTTATTTATGTTGGAAAATCATTATCTTACCACTTGAAATGGCCGAAACTACTACAAATAGGAAAAAAGTTGCAAAATAAAAGATCATGATTAGTTATAGCAATATCAATGCTTCTGTCCTATTTATAGTCGTTTAAATGGAATGGAAAATTTTGATTAGTATAATTAATTGTTTATTCATTCTCCAACAATTGCTATTTCGCATCTGTTTGAAATTTATTTATGTTAGAAAATAAAAAATATTGTCTTACTACTTGAAATGGCCGAAACGACTACAAATGGGAAAAAAATTGCAAAATAGAAGATCATGATTAGTTATAGCAATATCAATGCTTCTGTCCTATTTATAGTCGTTTAAATGAAATGGAAAATTTTGATTAGTATAATTAATGCTTACTGAACCGTAGCACTATGCAAAAGTC